CTGACAGGCTGACCCCCCCACCCCTTCACCCTCTGCAGCAATGCTGGCCCCACTGACAGGCTGACCCCCCACACCCCTTCACCCTCTGCAGCAATGCTGGCCCCACTGACAGGCTGACCCCCCCACCCCTTCACCCTCTGCAGCAATGCTGGCAGCAACTCTCATACGTCTATTTCCCAAAGACAACCTCTGGATATGACGCTGAGCACGTGCACTCAACTTCTTTGGTGGACCATGGCGAGGCCTGTTCTGAGTGGAACCTGTCCTGTTACACCGCGCTGTATGGTCTTGGCCACCGTGCTGCAGCTCAGTTTCAGGGTCTCGGCAATCTTCTTATAGCCTCGGCCATCTTTATGTAGAGCAACAATTCTTTTTTTTTCAGATCCTCAGAGTTCTTTGCCATGAGGTGCCATGTTGAACTTCCAGTGACCAGTATGAGAGAATTAGAGCGATAACACCAAATGTAACCCACCCGCTCCCCCATTCACACCTGAGACCTTGTAACACCACCGAGTCACATGACACTGGGGAGGGAAAAAAGGCTCATTGGGCCCAATTTGGACCTTGTCACTTAGGGGTGGACTCACTTCTGGGAGATACTGTATGTGTGTATATATAATATAAATTAAACAGAGTAGTCCAGGAAATGGAGCAGTAGAACCTCATAAAATGTAGAATTACACAACGCCCAACGCACACGTTCCTCCATCAAGGAGTGGCTATCTGTGTAGGTTGATGCTGCAGTGACCATCGGCTGGAAACGAGAACCATCCCAAGGGAAGAACATCACCAGCACACCAAGGTTCTCCGATACGGGTCTGAAGCTTTAATAAGCAATCACGTAGTTACAGCAAGGGCACCGTCGCAGGACCCCTTCATCAGGCATATAATATGGAGGGGTCCTGTGAGACTCTGAAACTTTGCCCTCACTATGTGATTGCCTATTAAAGCTTCAGACCCGTATCGGAGAACCTTGGTGTGCTGGTGACGTTCTTCCCTCATAAAATGGAGGAGCACAACAAGGAGAAGCAAACACTCATAATTCAATCCTTGGATAGATGAAGAGGGGAAGCGGGAGGGAGGAGAATCGGTAAAACAATATCCAAGAGTTAAGAGTAGGGAGTCCTCAGAAAAGGAAGGGGCAACCAAACAAGGTAAATAAACGAGGGCGAATACCACATGTAGAGAGAGCTGCCAATGGTTTGAGAAGAATCAAACGTAAAGCTACCAGGAAGCCATTGTCCTCCAGTGCTGTCCTATTCCTGAACGGCAACCTACCTGGAGTGGGCCAGAAATACGAGGTGTTCAGTGCTCAGAGACATGGCAAAGGTAAGGGAGGCTGAAACCCGACCACCACTGAACGAGACACAGAAATGGAAACTTCAAGACCGGGCCAAGAAATATCTGAAGACAGAATTTTGAAGGGTTTTATGGACTGATGAGATGAGTGACTCTTGATGGACCAGAAGTACAAGGTGTTCAGGGCTCAGAGACATGTCCAAGGTAAGGGAGGCTGAAACCCGGCCACCACTGACCAAGACACAGAAGTTGAAACACCTAGACTGGGCCAAGAAATATCTCAAGACAGATTTTTCAAAGGTTTTATGGACTGATGAGATGCGAGTGACTCTTGATGGACCAGAAGTACGAGGTGTTCAGGGCTCAGAGACATGTCCAAGGTAAGGGAGGCTGAAACCCGACCACTACTGACCAAGACACAGAAGTTGAAACATCAAGACTGGGCCAAGAAATATCTCTGAAGACAGAATTTTTAAGTGTTTTATGGACGGATGAGATGAGAGTGACTCTTGATGGACCAGATGGATGGGCCCGTGTCTGGATCAGTCACGGGCAGAGAGCTTTGCTTTGACCCCAGCAAGGTGGAGGTGGGATACTGGTATGGGCTGGTACTAATAAAGATGAGCTAGTTAGACCTTTTCAGGACTCAAAATCAACTCCCAAACCTTCTACCAGTTTTTAGAAGACACTTTCTTCAAGCAGTGGTTCAGGAAAAAGTCTGGATCTTTCAAGAAGACCATGATATTTATGCAGGACAACGCTCCATCACATGCAACGAAGTCCTCCACTGCGTGGCTAGCCAGTAAAGGCCTTCAAGATGAAAGAATAATGACATGGCCCTATTCCTCACCTGTCTAAACCCTATGGAGAACTGGTGGGCCCTTCTTAAACGGGAGATTTATGGGGAAGGAGAACAGTACACCTCTCTGAACCATGTCTGGGAGGCTGTGGTTGCTGGTGCACAAAAAGTTGATGGTCAACAGATCAAGAAACTGACAGACTTCATGAATGGAAGGCTTATGACTGTTAATGAAAAGGGAGGCTTTTTTGTAAAAAAAATGTTTGTGGGGCGTGGCCAAGAGCGGCCTATGAGCAGACGTATCTCACAGAACTCCTGGTCCTTATCCTGAACCAACCCTGTTCCAGACACTGCAGACTCCTGAAACTGGCTCCCATCTGCTCCTGGACCCCCATAGACAGCCCCGGTGTACCTGGTGCTCACTTTGGAACCATGGTGGCCTGTAAAAACAAAGAAGAAGGTCTGCGGCCTGAAATCCAACATGGCGCTGCTGCCGCTCTTCTCCAACGCACGCCTTGTGGGCAAAAGGACGCTGTGAGTGAACTACCTGAAACGCTTAAAGCCACCTCAAGGGAACTCCCTAGGGCAGGAGTGGGCAACTGTGGGCCTCCAGCTGTTGGTGAACTACAAGTCCCATCATGCCTCTGCCTTTGGGAGTCATGCTTGTAACTGTCAGTTTTGCAATGCTTCATGGGACTTGTAGTTCTACAACAGCTGGAGGGCCACAGTTGCCCACCCCTGCCTTAGGGATATGCGGTTATATTCTCAGATATTCATGGGCCCCTCAGGGCTAGACACTCTACACACCGCTGTGAACTCTCCGGAGCTCCAGAGAGCTGATGAAGAGAGAGAGATTGATGCTCCCACTGTGAACCTCCCCCCGCCCACTGTCTCCTGAGCTCCAATGCCTATCTGCGGGCCCGGGACTGGCTCACTGAGGGGAGGGAGGAGAGCGGACTTGTCCCCTCCCCTTCTTGTCCTGACCCGGAAGTGACATCACAATGCCCCGTTTGAGAGATTCCATGGAGGCCGGGAAAGAATGTAATGCGGTGCGATGTGCAGTGCATTTACATCCAGTGGGGTACAGGGGAGGCATCCAGGGTCTTTGAATGTCTCAATGAAGAGAACCTGTCACCCAAAATCATCACATAGAGGCGTAAAACTGCGGATGTTAAAAATAGTAATCAGCGGAATGTTAAAAATAGTAAACGTAGATTGTCGTCCGGGGACGAGCAGAGCAGTGGGTCGTGGGGTCGCAGTGGGTGTCGCCGGGGACGAGCAGTGGGTTGTCGCCGGGGACGAGCAGTGGGTTGTCGCCGGGGGCGAGCACGAGCAGATTGGGGCCCCGATTTAGTCCCTGGACAACTAGTCTTTTTTCCAAACTTTCCACACCACACATTTTAAGGAACCTTTTGGGGGGTTGAACGAATAGGTAGCCCTGATCCGGTGACCTTGAAGACCAACTGCCACCTCTTATCAGGGACACCCAGTCTACCAGCTGCCTAGCTAAAGTCACCGATCTGCGAGCAGAAGACTTTGAAAATCGTTTGAGGCGCAATAACATTCGGCTTGTGGGGTTACCAGAGAGAGTGGGGGGCGGGGACTTTGTGGAGCGCTGGCTGCTTGACATCTTTGGATTGGAGGTCTTCATGCCTCTTTTACATGGTGGAGAGGGCACACCGGGTCCCTCCTTGCCCCCTGACACCGGGTCCCTCCTCGCCCCCTGACACGGGGTCCCTCTCTCCCCCTGACACGGGGTCCCTCCTCGCCCCCTGACACGGGGTCCCTCCTCGCCCCCTGACACGGGGTCCCTCCTCGCCCCCTGACATGGGGTCCCTCCTCGCCCCCTGACACCGGGTCCCTCCTCGCCCCCTGACACCGGGTCATCCACCACGCCGTCTTGGCACGTCTTTGAATTACAGGGATAAATACATTATCCTCAGCCTGGATCAAGAACAACAAATATTGCTGGTGTAATAGTCCATCTCCATAGGGACGCGTGACGCGCAGCCCCCCCCCCCCCCCCCCCGTTAGGGACGCGTGATACCCCCCCCCCCCCCCCCCCCCCCCCCGTAGGGACGAGGGAGATCTCATCCTCTTGTGTCTTCTTTTCTCTCAGAGTGTCCTGCTGTTCCCATCATCTCTAATGAAACTACTAGGCATCGCATTATCCTGCTCTGCCAATCCTTCTCTTCTGGTATCACCTATCAATGGATGATCGATCAAACATCTGTGAGCAAGATCTATCTATACAACGAATCCCGACCTGAAGAGGATGTGACTCTGACCTGCATTGTGGACAACGAAGTGTGTAAGAAGAACGCATCTATAACCATCCAGGCTCCATGTGAGTCGCAGCATGCGGCCAGTGATGGCTATGAAGCAAATCTCCCCGGACCCCGCCTTCACCCGCTCTCCCCGGACCCCGCATTCACTATATCCGCTCTCCCTGGACCCCGCATTCACTGTATCCGCTCTCCCTGGACCCCGCATTCACTATATCCGCTCTCCCCGGACCCCGCATTCACTATATCCGCTCTCCCCGGACCCCGCATTCACTGTATCCGCTCTCCCCCGACCCCGCATTGACTATATCGCTCTCCCTGCATTGACCCCGGACATTGACTATATCCGCTCTCCCTGGACCCCGCATTGACTATATCCGCTCTCCCCGGACCCCGCATTGACTATATCCGCTCTCCCCGGACCCCGCATTGACTATATCCGCTCTCCCCGGACCCCGCATTCACTATATCCGCTCTCCCCGGACCCGCATTCACTATATCCGCTCTCCCCGGACCCCGCATTCACTATATCCGCTCTCCCCCCTGGACCCCGCATTGACTATATCCGCTCTCCCCGCATTGACTATATCCGCTCTCCCCGCATTGACTATATCCGCTCTCCCCGGACCCCGCATTGACTATATCCGCTCTCCCCGGACCCCGCATTGACTATATCCGCTCTCCCCGGACCCCGCATTCACTATATCGCTCTCCCCGGACCCCGCATTCACTATATCCGCTCTCCCCGGGCCCCGCATTCACTATATCCGCTCTCCCCGGACCCCGCATTCACTATATCCGCTCTCCCCGGACCCCGCATTTCACTATATCCGCTCTCCCGGACCCCGCATTCACTGTATCTCTCCCCGGACCCCGCGTTTCTGTTATCCGCTCTCCCCCGGACCCCGCGTTCCCTGTATTATCCGCTCTCCCCGGACCCCGCGTTTCCCGGTATTATCCGCTCTGCCCCGGACCCCGCGTTCCCGGTATTATCCGCTCTGCCCCGGACCCCGCGTTCCCGGTGTTATCCGCTCTCCCCCGGACCCCGCGTTCCCGGTGTTATCCGCTCTCCCCCGGACCCCGCGTTCCCGGTGTTATCCGCTCTCCCCCGGACCCCGCGTTCCCGGTGTTATCCGCTCTCCCCCGGACCCCGCGTTCCCGGTGTGATCCGCTCTCCCCCGGACCCCGCGTTCCCGGTGTGATCCGCTCTCCCCCCGGACCCCGCGTTCCCGGTATTATCCGCTCTCCCCCGGACCCCGCGTTCCCGGTATTATCCGCTCTCCCCCGGACCCCGCGTTCCCGGTGTATTATCCGCTCTCCCCCGGACCCCGCGTTCCCGGTATTATCCGCTCTCCCCCCGGACCCCGCGTTCCCGGTATTATCCGCTCTCCCCCGGACCCCGCGTTCCGGTGTGATCCGCTCTCCCCCCCCGGTTCCCCCGCGTTCCCCCGGTATATTATCCGCTCTCCCCCGGACCCCGCGTTCCCGGTATTATCCGCTCTCCCCCGGACCCCGCGTTCCCGGTATTATCCGCTCTCCCCCGGACCCCGCGTTCCCGGTATTATCCGCTCTCCCCCTGTGACGCTGCAACACCGACCTCTTCTGTTCTGTCTTGTAGACGGTCATGTACCTGATTGGCTCATCGCTTCTGCAGTATTCACGTTTCTGGTTCCGCTCCTGATCCTGGTTGCCTTCTTCATCGCGCTGTGCTATGAATACCGTGAAGGTAAGTACCGTGCCATGTATTCTATTCATTAGGTAAGTACCGTGCCATGTATTCTATTCATTAGGTAAGTACCGTGCCATGTATTCTATTCATTAGGTAAGTACCGTGCCATGTATTCTATTCATTAGGTAAGTACCGTGCCATGTATTCTATTCATTAGGTAAGTACCATGCCATGTATTCTATTCATTCAGTAAAGATGTTCGATCTGTTACCTCTGTTAGAACTGGATACATTGTTGAAGAATACGGTGGGGGTGGGGGGGTCATAGTGAGCAATGTGTGTGAGAAGTGTGGGATTGTTTGTTTTTTTTCCCCAAATCATGCGTACCTAGGTGGAGTCGCATCGATCCGATTCTGTATCTGTCCCCCGCCGGATCGAAGTATGAGAACTCAGCAATCACAGTCACCACTCTGTGTCCCCCCCCCCCCCGTTCACTAATGGGGGAGGGAACGGCTGGCTCACTAAGAGGCTTATGCAAGCCATACACGGGTCGAATTCCGAACGATTTTTCATCCGAAAATCAGAAACGTCATTCGCTCGGTAATCCGATGGCGACGTGAATGATTTTGAAAATCGGGCGGCCGAGTCATAAAGTTCACCCCATATAACAGGCGACACTTCTGTTCCTTCCAGGCCACGGCTCATGGCGCACTTTCTTTTCGGAAATACGATTTGACCGTCATTGAGTGGAAAATCGGTCGTTTTTCACAAATTGTACAACATGTCCGATCACCGAAAAGGGGAGGAGCCACGAAAATCGGCTGCTAACAGAGCGAAAATCAGCCGATTATTCTTAGGTCGGATGATTATTCATTTTCAGATGAAAAATCGGTTGGATTTCGCCCCATGTATGGCTGGCCATAGCCAAATGCCGCTCCAAAATCTGGGGTGGATCTCGACTTTAACCCCTCGCCCTCCAGAGAATTTACCCCCCAACCCCCCCTCCTTCCTGACCAGGACATTCTCTGCGATACGGCGCTGCATGACTTTAACTGACAATTGCGCGGCCATGGAACGCTGCACCCAAATTAAATTTACATCCTCCCCCCACCCCCACAAATAGCGGCGGTATTTGATCACCTCTGCAGGGGGTTTTTTTTTTTTTTTTCATTTTTTGCGCTATAAACAAAAAAAATGGACAATTTTGAGGAAAAAAAAAAAAAAAACAATATTTTTGACTTTTTGCTACAAGACTTGTCAAGTAAAAAAAGTCGTAAAATTTAGGCCGAAAAAAAAAAAATCCTATTATGTGTAATTTAATTGATTTACGTAAACGTTAGAGTCCTGACCTCAACCCCCAGACTTCGAGCCAGGCCCCCTCCCCCGACATCAGTGCCTGACCTGACAAATGTGCTTCTGGAAGAATGGTCCAACCTTCCCATAGACACCCTCCTAAACCTTGTGGGGGGCCTTCCCAGAAGAGTTGGAGCTGTTATAGCTGCAAAGGGCGGGGCCAACTCAATATTGAACCCTATGGACTAAGACTGGGGGGCCATTAAAGGTCAAGTGTGTGGAAAGGGCGGGGCCAACTCAATATTGAACCCTACGGACTAAGACTGGGAGGCCATTAAAGGTCATGTGTGTGGAAAGGGCGGGGCCAACTCAATATAGAACCCTACGGACTAAGACTGGGAGGCCATTAAAGGTCATGTGTGTGGAAAGGGCGGGGCCAACTCAATATTGAACCCTACGGACTAAGACTGGGGGGCCATTAAAGGTCATGTGTGTGGAAAGGGCGGGGCCAACTCAATATTGAACCCTACGGACTAAGACTGGGAGGCCATTAAAGGTCATGTGTGTGGAAAGGGCGGGGCCAACTCAATATTTGAACCCCACGGACTAAGAATGGGGGGCCATTAAAGGTCGTGTGTGGGAAGGGCGCGGCCAACTCAATATTGAACCCTACGGACTAAGACTGGGGGGCCATTCAAGGTCATGTGTGTGGGAAGGCCGGCAGCCCAAAACTTGGGGCAATGTAGTGCGTGTGGCAGTGAGAATTGGGCTTTATTCCATGCTGCCACGTAGATGCGTTTAGCTGGTGTTGCTGCGTTGGGAGCGTGCTCAGTCATCACCCCCAACACTGACCAATGTGTCGCTGACCAGTTACCGGAGAGCCCATGTAACGCCTCCAGTGTTGTGATCACCTAGAGGGCGGCTCCCACCTGGGGGGGCATTAAACACACTTCTAATCCCAGTGATATTGAAGGTCTGTTTTCTTGTTTTGACTTTTTGTTTTTTTTTACAAACCTGTTACACTTACCTGCTTTGTAATGGACAGAGCAGCCCCGATCCCCTTTATGGAGAGATATGGAGTCAATTGAGAAATAATTAGTGACGGGTCCTCTTTATGGAGAGATATGGGGGGGGGGGGGGACAATGAGACATAATTAGTGACGGGTCCTCTTTATGGAGAGATATGGGGGGGGGGGGGGACAATGAGACATAATTAGTGACAGGTCCTCTTTATGGAGAGATATGGGGGGGGGGGGACAATGAGACATAATTAGTGACAGGTCCTCTTTTATGGAGAGATATGGGGGGGGGGGGGGGACAATGAGACATAATTAGTGACAGGTCCTCTTTATGGAGAGATATGGGGGGGGGGGGGACAATGAGACATAATTAGTGACAGGTCCTCTTTATGGAGAGATATGGGGGGGGGGGGGCAATGAGACATAATTAGTGACAGGTCCTCTTTATGGAGAGATTATGGGGGGGGGGGGACAATGAGACATAATTAGTGACGGGTCCTCTTTATGGAGAGATATGGGGGGGGGACAATGAGACATAATTAGTGACGGGTCCTCTTTATGGAGAGATATGGGGGGGGGGACAATGAGACATAATTAGTGACAGGTCCTCTTTATGGAGAGATATGGGGGGGGGGGGGACAATGAGACATAATTAGTGACAGGTCCTCTTTATGGAGCGATATGGGGGGGGGGGACAATGAGACATAATTAGTGACAGGTCCTCTTTATGGAGAGATATGGGGGGGGGAGATATGAGACAGCTTTAATTAGTGACAGGTCCTCTTTATGGAGAGATATGGGGGGGGACAATGAGACATAATTAGTGACGGGTCCTCTTTATGGAGAGATATGGGGGGGGGGGGGGGGGATGACAATGAGACAGTATGTAATTAATTAGTGACAGGGTCCTCTTTATGGAGAGATATGGGGGGGGGGGGACAATGAGACATAATTAGTGACAGGTCCTCTTTATGGAGAGATATGGGGGGGGGGGACAATGAGACATAATTAGTGACAGGTCCTCTTTATGGAGAGATATGGGGGGGGGGACAATGAGACATAATTAGTGACAGGTCCTCTTTATGGAGAGATATGGGGGGGGGGGGGACAATGAGACATAATTAGTGACAGGTCCTCTTTATGGAGAGATATGGGGGGGGGGGGGGACAATGAGACATAATTAGTGACAGGGTCTTTATGGAGAGATATGGGGGGGGGGGGACAATGAGACATAATTAGTGACAGGTCCTCTTTATGGAGAGATATGGGGGGGGGGGGACAATGAGACATAATTAGTGACAGGTCCTCTTTATGGAGAGATATGGGGGGGGGGGGGGGACAATGAGACATAATTAGTGACAGGTCCTCTTTATGGAGAGATATGGGGGGGGGGGAAATGAGACATAATTAGTGACAGGTCCTCTTTATGGAGAGATATGGGGGGGGGGGGGACATGAGACATAATTAGTGACAGGTCCTCTTTATGGAGAGATATGGGGGGGGGGGACAATGAGACATAATTAGTGACAGGTCCTCTTTATGGAGAGATATGGTCCGGGGGACAATGAGACATAATTAGTGACAGTCCTCTTTTTGGAGAGATATGGGGGGGGGGGACAATGAGACATAATTAGTGACCAGGTCCTCTTTATGGAGAGATATGGGGGGGGGGGGGGGTTCAATGAGACATAATTAGTGCAGGTCCTCTTTATGGAGAGATATGGGGGGGGGGGACAATGAGACATAATTAATGTGACAGGTCCTCTTTATGGAGAGATATGGGGGGGGGGGGACAATGAGACATAATTAGTGACAGGTCCTCTTTATGGAGAGATATGGGGGGGGACAATGAGACATAATTAGTGACAGGTCCTCTTATGGAGAGATATGGGGGGGGGGGGGGACAATGAGACATAATTGTGATCAGGTCCTCTTTATGGAGAGATATGGGGGGGGGGACAATGAGACATTATTAGTGACAGGTCCTCTTTATGGAGAGATATGGGGGGGGGGGGACAATGAGACATAATTAGTGACAGGTCCTCTTTATGGAGAGATATATGAGACATTAATTAGTGATCAGGTCCTCTTTATGGAGAGATATGGGGGGGGGGACAATGAGACATAATTAGTGAGCTCCCAGTCCTCTTTATGGAGAGATATGGGGAGGGGGACAATGAGACATAATTAGTGACAGGTCCTCTTTATGGAGAGATATGGGGGGGGGACAGAGACATAATTAGTGACAGGTCCCGGATCAGCCCCTCCCTTTAGATTGTAAGCTCCCAGGATCAGCCCCTCCCTCTTAGATTGTCAGCTCCCAGGATCAGCCCCTCCCTCCTAGATTGTAAGCTCCCGGGATCAGCCCCTCCCTCT